CACAAATTAATTTATAAAAATAAAAGAACATAAAACATAAAAAAGGTGAATGAATAAATAAAATTTACAAAATAACAAAACTGAAAACAAAACAGAACAAAGAAAAAACTATTATAAAACGGTGAAGGAAAGGGAAAGAGAAAAGAAAAAAAACAAAAAATTAGACAGTCGAAAAAAAAAATGAAAAGACACATTCGTGAGGCAGCGTGGTGGAATCAGGCTCTCGTCAAAATAATCAAAGTGAAGAAACTTGCATTTTTCCGCAGGTTTGTGAATTTTTATCTAATTTTTGTTTTTTGGCTCAACACCTTTCATGCTCATTAAAGAACTCATTTCTGCGTGGAATTTTCTGAAAAACGTTGATTAAAGGCACACAAAACGTAAATTTTCAGTTACCACGAACTTTTAAGCTAAGGAAGTAACTAATCTTTGGCGGCCATTTTCTCACTAATTTTACCTCTGAAAACAAGTGACCCCCGCCTACTTCTTTCGCAAATATCTCGACTTGTATTCAAGATAAATGGATATTTTTTCATCCGAATAAAGACAAGTGAATAAGCTTTAAGATGATACCAATAACTCTACATGCCCAAAATTTGACGAGAGCCTGATTCCACCACGCTGCCTCACAAATAACAAAACTGAAAACAAAACAAAACAAAGAAAAATTATTATAAAACGGTGAAGGAAAAGGAAAGAGAAAAGTAAAAAACAAAAAAAAATTAGACAGTTGAAAAAAAAATTGAAAAGACACATTTATTATTTTTTTCTCTCTTTTCCTGTCTATTTCTGCCATGGCATGGCTGATCCCATTTCCCCCCATTCCACCCTATATTGCATGTAGCCTGGGGGTCAGGCAACATTTCCCAGACTGCCTGCGAATAACGGACCCCATGAAGACGGTCATAATTTAACCGTTTCATCAAAAGCGGTAATTTGAGCGGGCATCAATAAGGCACGGGATGAAATTCCATATTGTTATCACTTTGCGCCGTTTACGGGCGGCTGTCTTTTCATTGTTTCGTCGTCTCTGTTTTCTTTGATGGGCTCTGCTCCTCAATTGTCTTCTCTTCTTTCTTTCTCTCTTTTTTCTATCTTTCCTTGTCTATCTCTTTCTCTCTCACTCTCTATCTCTCTCTCTTTCGATCTCTCTCTGTCTCTCTTTCCCTACCTCTCTCTTTTTTCTCCCTCTCTTGCTCTCTCCCTCTCC